CATTTCTGATCCTGCAAAAGGGCCTATACAACTTTACTCTGATTCTCACACTATTCACTGGTGAATTTCTACAAGCTATGCTTATAATTTTAGGCTTAGATGCAGTTTTTATTAATCAAGCACAATATTGTATTAATGCTGTGTAGCTCTGAGGCAGGTGTTGTGCAAGAGTCTGCATCATGTGCACAGACATACCTGATCCCGCATGTTACAATTTACTTTCCATCTCATGCTCCCAAGAGGACAGGGAGAGAACACTGGAACAATCTCCTGCTATGGACAGTCATTGCCTGACAGCAGACAGTTTTTAATACATGCAATTTCTTGTATGCAAACCAACTCAGAAAAGGTAAACTGTTAACATTTGTCAGATGATAAATCATTAAGTGAGCTTTGATATAAAAATGCTTTTAACTTGTTTAAATTTAGAATTTATTATACTCAAACTGAAGTTTGAATGTAGAATAAAGTCTTTTCTGCTATTCTTCAGTTGTAAATGGCTGCTTCACAGTAAAGGTATCTTTCTTCACTCTTCATATTTGCCATCTTAATTACTAAGGTCCCATCACCTTCCACCTAAATTGTAAATACCTTTAACTATCTCCTAATAATAAATTCATCCAGTTCTTTGCTAGTTTTCTTTCTTCCTTTTTTTCCCTCCTTTGTATCCAATTGCTCCATGCCTCTTGGTGATACAACACTAAGAAGCAAGTACAATAATATTACCGTGCTTTTACAGTTAACAGCTTTTGCAGTAACAATCACACGATCATACCTGAATCCCACATAAATTCATGTTCAGTTTGTTTTCTGTACAAACTTGAAATACCTTACATCACACTGGTATGGCTTTCCCATTTTCTCATTTAGCTTCTGTAATTATTTTTCCTTTAGTGTTAAGAAGATACTAACACCCAACATGACTCTCTATTTATTTTCAGTGACATTCTTCACATATTTTCCCTTCCCTAAATCTGGTACTTCTTGTACCAGAATCTAGTGGCATTTACTTTTGCTTCTTCATGATCGTCAAATTCTTTTTTCACGTTTTTCAAACAGCATGAGATTCAACATGAACACTCAGTCCTGCTGTAATTTTCACAACATGCCCACCACGAAGTGCAGTAAACATGATGACGTTACACAAACCAAAGCTAAACCTGAGATATAACGCTACAACAATATTGTAAGATTTACAAACATCTACAACTGTCTTCACAATTAGTATCACCTAGCTAGTTTAGAGGTCTTTGCTTAGTGTTACTAAATTAATACCCCAACATCACTGCAAAACAGTAGGTTTGCAGTCAGATAATGTTATTTATTCATTTTAATCCGCACCTTCTTTAAAATTGATAATTCAGAACTTAAATGTTTTAACAGACACTAGAGAAAAAATGTGAACATTTGGTTAAGGCGAGAAAGGCAAATTCCAGAGAACTGCTTTCAGCTCCCTACAGACCATAAAAAAATGAAAGTTTTATTCTAAATGCGGACAGACTCACCTTATTTGTGTCTATGGCTACCTCGAGGTATAATGCTGAAACTCATGAAAGACAGGAAAACTCTGGCTATTTCAATATTGGTCAATAATACTATGAAATGGGAGAAAATTATTTGCTAATGCCCTGATCATCTCACTGTGCACTTTGGGGGCTCTTTTATTTTTGGCTACTGGTTGGAACTCAGCAGGTGCATTCCTGGAACACATCTTTTAGTGTGGCATCATCCAAAAACTCACAGCTGGTTTGCAGTAAAAACACTAATGAAGATGTATGTCATAGTTAATATTCCTATTAAATTTTCACCTCTCCAGAGAATTAGAATTTCTCTTTCTGCAAGAAGTTTCGTCCTTTACAGAACCTTGCCTGTCAACTGTACTTACTCTTTCCATACTGACAACAGACTGATAGGCATGTGAATGACAAACTGAAGAACGATTTTTAAAAAGCAGTAGGTAGAAACAATAGTGAAAATAAATCATTTTAAATTCCTTTTCTCCAAGACCAAATAAAGCATGTTTAATGAGTCCTTCACATTTATTTTTTTAGTGTGAATTTTCAGTGGCAGATTCTGTATTACAGAAAAAAATTTCATTCTTTCAATTATATGGTGAACTGTGACAGTAGATAAAATAACTCATGAGAGTACAAGAATAAGGTAAGTGGAGAGAAAGCAAAAAATCAAAGTCAGTAATACCTTACTGCAGAAGTATAAATGTTTATTTTAACTGAATGACTTAAAGACTCAGAGATGGTAAATACAATACTTTCCGTAATGCTTCCATAAAGCTATCATCACTGGTAACAAGATGCTTAGTTTCTCTTTCCCCTCAAAATCTTCCTCCAGGCATATTTTATCTTTCTCTTTATTTATTGTTAAACCGCGCTTCACAGAATGTTGGAGAACATATAAGCTCACCCCAACCAAAACACAGGATCAGACTTTTCTAAGCCAATCTAAAGAAATATTTGCCTAATCTGCAGCTGGGAAGTTCCACTTTGTAGGTCACTTATTCCAGAAGTTTTCTCTACTGTTTAACCTAAACTTCTTTAGCTTTAATTGAAGCTTACTACCTCTTGTCCCCTCCACAGGGATTATGTAGAACAACCTACTCTCCACGGTAGTCTTTAACGCTCTTGATAATAATATAATTTTTTAATATAGGTCAATTTGGGATGTCATCTCTGCTCTAAACTGAATAACCACTGTTCCTAAAATCTTCCAACGTTGTGCTTGCCACATCAATCACTGTTGTTGCTTTGCTCTGTGAACTTTTAAGAAGTCTCTCACCATTTTTTTCAAGTACAAAATACTGAGCAAAATACTCAGGCTGAAGACCCACTCAAGTTCAACAGACACCTATCTCACATACAAACATGCCACTTTATATGTACTATACAGCATGTTGTAATCTTTGTCTGTAGCATGGCCTTTTATTTCCTAGATTTTAAATATATCTAAATGCCCCTGAATACTGAACATCTTATGTTTCCACAATTGATTACTTTTAAAAGAGATACAAAAAACTTACTATTACCATTTTTTTCCCTGGACCTCTTCCCTTTCTGACTTACGTATTCTGTTTACTATGATTTGACATTAAACTTCTATGAACTGATTCAATCTACCAACTCAGCACAAAAGTGTTGCAAACTAAGAACGATTTTCTCCCAAGTTAGCAAACTGAATCAGATCAGTAGAAGCACTAACTCATGCCAGAGACAGTGCAAGTCAGTCACCCAACTCTTAATTTTAACATCTGCAGCTGAAAATGCAACCCTAACATTTAAATTTGCATTGTTCTTCATTTTTCCTGTTGCATTCCCCTTCCCTATCCCACAGTCATTTATTTTTTTAAGTCCACAAATAAAGGTAATCTGTCCTGAATTTACTATCATAGAATTACAAAACGGCCAAGGTTGGAAGGGACCTCAAGGATCATGAATCTCCAACCCCACTGCCATGTAGGGCCACCAACCTCCCCATTTAATACTAGACCTGGCAGCCCAGGGCCCCATCCAATCTGGCCTTGCACACCTCTAGGGACAGGGCATCCTATTCTTGGTATCACTAGTAATCAGATTATTGGGATAATTGTTTTCCAGTTTGACTGCAGTTATCTTAGAGCATTTTATTAAAGTTTTGTTAATGTCTCTGGGACTGCTTTAGCCAACCCTTCAATAAGCTTCAGTGAATTCCAACAAGTTTGAATGATTTTAATGCATCTAATAAGTAGTCTCTAGTTCATTTGTTCTGTACCTGAATGTTTCCGTTTTGTCACAGATCCTCTGTAATTAAGCAAAACTGACTGCTAAAAACTGAATTAAGCATTCAAGCTTATTTCCTTTCTGTCTAGAAACGATGTCATCTTGCTCATTCTTCTCCTCTTACTGCATTTTCATTAATCATTTTGCCCATCAACATTGCATCTAAGCTAACATTTTTTTAATGTCATCTTCCATTTTGGAATATGATTATTTTCAGAATTTTTAGTTAGATATCCCAATAACTTGGTGAATAATTTCTTTCCTGCCATACATATTTCTTAACAGTGGAGTTAGACCACTTCTGCTCAAAAAGGGAAACCAGTATTATTTTTACCATTAGCTGCTACCTACAGTTTTTCAGTAGTTTTATATCCTGCCTGCAATTTAATCTAAAGAAACTTAAAAAAAACTCAAACTAATACATAAAGCTTCCTTTCCTTCCCCCCAGCATCTTGTCCTAAAATAAAAGGCATCTTTTCAAATTGTACCATAGTTTTATCTATTGTTGATGTCCAAGTACTAATTTAGTCTGTCAGTATAGAAGTGGATTACCTCCAATTAATCTCTCACATCTTTATGGATTAAAAAATTCACCTCACCTATTACATACTTGAAAATTTGTGTACATTTATTAAGAAACAGAACTTAATTTTTTTTCTGCCACAAAAGTGTGCATCTGAAGATCCATCTCCTTTTGCTAAAGTTTATGAAGGATAAACTTGGAACTATCCTCTAGATTTTAAGTTCAACTGGTATCATTGAGAAGAAGTGCAGAATCTTAAAGATAATAGCTCTGAGTTCAGTGTTTAGCATATGCATTTAAGTGCCTTTCCAATTTGAACAGTCAAGAAAACTTCCCACTTTAGAAGAGATCAGAACAGGTATGCGCTCTTCAAAGAATTCAACTCAATTCAATTCAATTTGAAATAACTGTATTTCAAATCCAGAAGCTTGCCCAACTTCACATACGTAGCTACAGAACATTTGAAAGTATAAATGCTACCTGTACAATTTATTTATATATTGGTATCCTTTTGCTACTACCACTTCCCATTCTTACAGAAAACTAATTTTCTGGAAAAAAAAAACCAAACGCCATCTGTTTTGACAAAATATCGTCCTCAATTATGCAAATGAACGCATTTATGAAAATAAACCTACTGAAGAAACTTAAAACTGTGATGTTAACTGGAGATCTAAACAACATCTGCTGTACCTTCCTTTTCTTACCTTCCTTTTCTTTGGGTTTTAAAGTTTGCTCTTCTTTTTTCTGCTTTGCCTCCAAAAGTTCACGTTTCAGCTGTCGTGCTTCTTTCCGTAGCTCCTCACTGGAAAGGAAAAAATATTTACAAGAATTTAATCTTTTGGGAATGTAAAGCCACTCAGGAGAAGCTGAATCAAAGTTAATGGGCAGTAAATCTCTGATATAAACGAAGGGAATGTACTGACTCACGCATGCTAGGAACATGGCTTAAGAATCAATTAGAACCAAAGAAAGCTTGTATTTTGATTAGAAAAGACAACAAAAAGACATAACAGATGACTTATTTTAAGAGCCCTTTAGAAATATGTCAAGGACATGAATAATAAAACAAAGAACTCCCACTTGTATTTTTAATTTAATATCGTAATATTTAACTATAAGAACCACAAAAAAGAATTTGAAACAGAGGCAGTGCCAAACGAATTTTACACATATTATAAAATTCAGTTTACGGAAGTAACAAATGCCAGCACTCTTGATTTCTTAGATGAACAGATAATGTAGTTGTGATGTGATTAAGATTACATCTGTATAATGAAAAATTATTACATATGAAAATTAATTTTAAAATTTTACGACAACAAACAGGAAATGACAGCAGAAAAAAAATGTGCAAGTCAGTGTGCCAATATCAAGTGAAATGTCTTTCTCTGGCTTCCTGGCTTGTGTCAGAAATGGTATGGTGAGCAGGTCTAGGGAAGTAGTCCTGCCCCTATACTGAGCATTGGTGAGGCTTCACTTTGAGTACTGTTCAGTTTTGGGCACCTCGGTACAGAATGGTTGGAATAGGTCCTAAGAAGGGCAACAAGGCTTGTGAAGGGCTTGGAGAATATGCTCTGTGAGGAGCAAATGAAGGAACTGGGGCTGTTCAGTCTGGGGAAGGAGGCTGAGGGGAGGCCTTACTGCTCTTTTCCAGTATCTGAAAGGAGATGGCAGAGGGAGTGGAGTTGGTCTCTTCTCACTGGTGACAGGATGAGGGGAAACGGCCTCAAGTTGTGCCAAGGTAAGTTTAGGCTGGATATCAGGAAAAACTTCTTCACAGAAAGGGTTTTAAGCACTGGAATAAGCTCCGCAGGGAAGTGCTGAGTCACCATCCCTGGGTGTATTTAAAAACTGTTTGGATGTGGTGCTCAGGGACATGATTTAGTGGAGGGTTGTTAGGGTAGTATGGTTAGGTTGTGGTTGGACTTGGAGATCTTGGAGATCCTTCTCAACCTGAGCAATTCCATGATTCTTCACAGAATCACAAAATAGATAAGGAGGGACTGCTGAAGATCCCATGAACCATCCCAGTGTGAGAAAGCTTTTCCATATGTTAAAATTCAATTTCTTAAATTTAATTCTACACTCATATACTACACTAGTATGAAAGCACCAATAACTGCTTTCAGTTTTTCTGGTATTAGAATCTGTATTTTCCACTTTTTCCAAAACTTAAGTTCCTATTTCTTTTGTATGTGCCTAGGAACTACATGATTTTCTTCTTTAAGTTCCTTAAGTACACTGATAGGTACAATTAAAACTATTCTCTCCCTCTCCTCCTCCTCAAAGAAACTGAATTCTTTGCCACTCAGCAAGAGTTGGTTACAAATGCACTTAGAGTAATGCAGTCCAGCACATCAAAAAGTTTTCTTTAAGAGGGGCACACTTAAAAGTTCTAAGTTATATTAAAGTAATGTGGAAGAAGAACAAACTATTCTTTAAGAATTGTTCATTCTTCACATCTCCCTTTTATTTTTCCACTGGAAGGAGGTTTTTGTACAGAACATAGATGTGCCTAATTCCCTTAGAATCTAATTATAAAGTAATTTTATAAGATCCTTCTATTATCAGTAATAGATAGATGGTAAGTTGATAAAAGACTATGATACTTGGCTTGGGAACTCTAGACTCCTAGACCCTAAACTTCGTACCCTCCTAAACAATGTACCCTCCTAGGCTCACCTTAGGCTCACCAACGTTAGGCAGGGGAGACAGACAATTCAAAAAGCCTTCATGGTAATGAGGAAGCCACAAGAACTGATTAACTGAAAAGCCAAGCTATACTCAGAAGACAAACTTCCAGTTCGTTAGAAGAGAACTGGAAACAACTGTTTAACAGAAGAACATGAAACTGATGAAGTAAGGCAGAATCAGCATGAGGGCCCACAAATTGGTCTGCAACTGCATCCCTTCATATTTTAACAATAGGTCTTTGCAAACGGTAAATTTGCACCTGTGTTTTGTGTAAATTAGCTTTTGTTGGTATGTGGTTGCACTGTTGCCTCTTTTCTCTGGAAAGCTTAAGTCACATCACTGCTTTCCTGGTCCCACTGTTACGCAACAGAATCTCCTCTTGCTCTTACTTTCCTTCCCCCTTTCTGTAGTTTGGAAGCTTTCCAAAGACACTTCCAATATCCTTCTCAGCTTACTTATTCCCATTTTAAAAGTCCCAAACACACAAAAATGGAAACCAAACAAGTAACACAAAACTGGATTTTCTCTTTGTGAAGTGTATTACCAGTATTGTGTACAAAACAACAAATCATTTCCTTTCTGAATTTTGTTTTTTGAAACTAGAAGTGTAGCTAATTCTTGAAATCTTTTATTGCCACATTCTGTGAAGAGCACTTAGGTGAAACTGTTTAAGTACCAAGCTGGATTCTGGCTTGGAGATACTCCTTCTAAAAATAGAACAACACTAACCAAATTTCCTAAACACAGTTTTATATCTTTTGAATGTAAAGTACATTGTAACTAAATGCCACAATTTTCCAAATAAAAACTAGCATTGGCTTAATTGTAAACAACAGTTTTTAACTTTTTGTCTGAAATTGTTAGCCTGCTTATTTTTTCTACAATTACTACAATCTCTTGATTATATAACCCTTAGTAACCTTTTCTGATTGAACATCCTAAAAGATAATAACTGTTCAAAAATGTTACCAATAGGCTTACACTATTCCAGTGCCAAGCATAATTATCATCAGCTAGCTCAACCATATATTCCACATAGAAGATCAAGATAAAATAACTATGTATATGTGTATTTGTCTATATATGCATATAACAAATTGCATACTGAATGTTTCTGAGAAGAATTATAGACAATATTCTTTTTCTGTCAACATTTAGGCAAGTTAGCTCCAGGAAGCACTATGAGAAAAAAAAACAAACGAACAAAAACCTACTTACTGAAGTAAAAAACTAAAATGGAACAACAATGTTAAAAGAATTGTTCATTTTTCTCATTTATATCAAAAATATTTGTAGACAGAATGTTTATTCTGAGAAGAAAAACCCACACAATCAGTTTCAGAAGAAAATGCCTAACTCCAGGGTTTTTAGATGCATCAGTTTGCCTCATGGGATCTCCACGATATAGAAGCTACAAGACACTGGCTGTCTTCAGGTTCATCTCTTACTGCATGTTAAACATGCATGGTGAAACTATCAGATTTCCTGGTAAACTATTTGAATGCATGTTCAACCGACATCTCTGCACTGTTATCTACTACTTGGATTTCTTTTCACAAATGAAATAATTTGAATTTCTCCCTGCAATATGTCTACAATCCTTCTGAACACGGGCCTCAGAATCAGACATGATAGGATCAAACACTCCAGCAAACCACTGCTGATTGCATACTTGGTTCCTTTGTTTTGATTCACATAGAATATAAGGTTCATCACCACACTGAGTACTCAAATTACTTCTTGCAATGACTGTAATCCCATTTATTATCCATTTCTTTCCAAAATGTTCTTCAGCCATTGTATTACCCTGCAGCTACAACCTACATTCCTGATTTGCAATTGTATAATCTATTATTTAGTAGTATTTTAAGTTTTTCTTGTAGCATTCTGGCTAAGTGCTATTTAATTCAAATTATTTTTAATAATTTGTCCTCAGGCAAACTATATTGTTCTCATATAAAAACTTTTTAAATAAAAGCAAGAATGCCAGTGTGCTTATAAACAAATGCTTGGATCTACCTGTACTATAAGCAATAGCTATAAACTTTTTATAAATCAAAAAGTCATCTCTTTAAACCTGAATCATCCTCTCACTTCAGTTTCTCTAAGAGGCAACACGGTTATCTACTAATTACCAGAACTGATTACAACTTTAATGGCCATCTTCTTTGCTTTTGAGTACAATTAAGAAAGCAATCTGTTACACTTACTTACGAAAGAAGAGAGGATAAATTATGTATGTTCATTTCTTGGTACTGTACCTTTTGCCACATTTAGACTCTGCGATGGCAGTCCTACAATTCTTCGTAATTTCCTGTTTTTCACTATAAATTAACATCAGTAAAGCAGAAAGCATTCCATTTTCAAGTCCTTGCCTAATTAACTAGGCTTGTTTTCTACAAGTACTTCAGTTAAAAGATGTAGCCCCCCTGTCAGTGGATGTGAACTTTTTACCGTCCTCACATTATGCATACTGCACGTTCCACATATAGACACATACAGACCATATTTTTCTTATATAATGATTTTTGCCATCTTTATGATTGGCTGAAGATAAGCCATCAATGTGCCCAGGTGGTCAAGAAAGCCACTGGCCCCCTGGCCTGCATGAGAAATCATGTAGGCTGCAGGTCTAGGGAAGTAGCTGTCCCTCTGTACTCAGCGCACTGAGACAGAAAGCATCCCAACTATTGTGGACAGTTTTGGGCCCCTTACTACAAGAAGGATATGAAGTTGCTGGATAGGTTCCAAGAGCAATAACAAAAATGGTGAAATGACAGTGACACAAGATATGGGGAGCAGCTGACAGAAATGAAGTTGTTTATTCTGCCAAAAGGAAGCCAAGGGGAAATGTCATGGCTCTCTACACTACCTCATAGTGGATGAATCTCTTCTTGAAGGAACGGAGGGCCCCATATGCTTCCCGACCCAAACCGTCAGGAAGTGTGCTGCCCTCTTGGGGCCCAGGTCAGGGACATAACCAGGAAACTCCCAAAGCTGGTTAGGTCCACTAATTATTTTCCTTTACTCATAGTGCAGGTGGGCAGTGATGAAATTGCTTAGAGAAGCCTATGAACTACGAAAAGAGATTTCAGGGGTTTAGGGTAT